GCTCAGTAGGAAGTTTCTAAGAGTGAAATTTCTAAAAGTCAGAAATTAACTTGAATTAAAATGATGATATGGAAACTGTTAAAAGAATAGCCGAGAAGTGAGCATTTTCAAGGATCTGCTTGATTATTTTCATTTTCATAGTATCACATTACGAATACAACGTCGATAATTGTTGATTTATTGTTTGGTTATTTCACAGTTTTTAAATAATGCACATTGCTTTTTGTATTGCCTTCCTGAAATTGATCCGTGCAAGAGCGATTCTTTCATTTTCACCTATATTTTTGCAAGTATTTTTTTACACTATATTTAAACATGTAAAAGTGTCATAAAAACTAAACGTACAGTACATTTGTATAACTGTGTCCTTCTTTCAGAGCAGAAATAATGAATGTGGTAACAGAAGGAGCTAGCTGTACATAATGTAAATCCTTAATACTGTCCTCTTGTCTTCAAAGAATGTAATAAACATCCTTTTCATAGATTGAAGCAATTAAACAATTAACAAATAAATAAGTTCAGATAGAGTTAGCTGAACGTATTTTTAGTTTGTATTTGAGATGAATGTTGAAATAGAAAAGATGTCGGCAAAAGACTTGGAACAGAAAGAGTCATTAATTCAAATGAAGCTCCTTTTTACGCACATAAGGAGCATTCGTCCTGCACTTTTAGAAAATGGACAGTAGAATTATTCATCTTAAAGCGGACGAATTCACAATGGGTATGAGGAAGGAGTTATGGAAAGGATGTTGACTTACAATTCCCTCAAATTGCTTCTAAACAGTGGAAACTATGAGTTCTGCTTTTCTTGTATGTTACTCGTAATAATTGACAGCTTTTTAAATTACAAACTGTTTAGTAAGAAGTAGCTCTCAACGTTTAGTTTTTGAAATAATAAATATTCTTATCCGAATATGCTACTTTTCATATTCTGACAATAGTTGTAGGTATTAATAATTACTTAATAACTGATTACTGCTATTTATTATCTTTTGATATTTTTTGCCAGAGGTTCGATTATCATTCATCTATTCAGAAGCTATCACTTATCCATATATACTGTCGCTGTCCTTAACCTATTCATTGTTTTTCTTTTTTTACTTAAATGGTGCTAATTGCTGAAGATGTTAGTTTGAATTCCATTTGAAATAATCAGTTAAAATGACAAATAAAAAAACTTGTTCTATATCATTACAACCCATTTTCTGGACATATTGTCATATACTAATAGAATTTGCCCTTTTTCCATTTTATGACTAGTTTTAATTTATTCAACTCAATGAATTATTTAATCCTCTACTACTCTGGAAGTTATTTGTTTGATAATATCATTATATTTTCTCATGAAATAATTGTACATATAGTTTCACAAAAAAATTTATTTAATGAATAAGATAAGTTTTAAATGTCTTATCAAGGTTCGAAACATTACAAGACGAGAATACCAGTCAGAAGTCGTTGTCGTGGTAACCTCTATAAATCATTATTTGTTTGAGCACTGGCAATTGTGAATATGAATGATGAGAAAGAAACTTTGTTGCAAAAAGTTATTAGTTACTTTGTCTTCTATGTCTTTCCATCCCTTTAATTAAACAATTTTTCATATATGTAAAAAAAATAAAACTGTAGAGTTAAAAGTTTCAGTTGCAGTTCCAAAATACAGAATTCATTCGAACTTCAACAATTTCATCATTTTAAAAATTGAGAAGAAAAAGTGAATTTTGAGTACTGAATTAGTGTTTCTGATTGATTCATCTCCACTTTCTTTCTCCATCTATTTCTTTCTAGAAAAAGATGTTAATCATATAAAATAAGTGATAATGCTGCAAGTAATTGTAACGACCGATTACATTTATTACAACACTTCAGTAGAAGAGAAAGGGACACACTGATGAATGTACATTGCAGTAAAGAGTAATTTTCAAGTATATGCGATTTGTTGAAAAGCATTAATCGCATTGCGTCTTTTACCACAATAAATGCGGTGGTAGATATCACCACCACATCAATAATGTTATCACCAAATTGAATTCGTGTTTGTGCATGTGCATGTATATGTATGTGAAGGTGAATGCATGTGATGTAAGAGTTGATGTATATATATATATATATATAATACATTATATACATGTATGTATGTGTGTGTATATATATATGTGTGTATGTGTGTGTGGTATGTATTGGATGAGTGTGTCTGTGTGTTCCTGTTCAGTGTCTGTATGTTGGGTGCACCGATCTTAAAAAGGAATTTTGCCCAATTCTGTGTTCTTACTTCATTTCCTCCCTTTACATTTCAATTTATTCTTATCAACCAGTATCAATTCATATTTATCGGTCGTTTTTCAAATTGATAAATGAATGAGTAATAAATTAATCAGTGATGGAAAATTAACAAACTGTCTATAACCTAATTATTGTTACTATGGTAAAATTCTATATTTTAAATTAGGAGCTACATGTATTGTGGTAGAAATTGCTGAATGCTAAAAATGATGATGTGTCTGAATGAGATGGCGGTACATTTTAACCTTTGAAGCAATTTTAATTATTGCTTATTTTATGACTAATTTTCATCCCTTTGATTTTAGTTGAAGTGAGATTAAAGTGGTTAAGGAAAAAATAAACATATAACCAATAGTAATTGGTAAAGGGAAATTTTAAAAATAATAAAATTTTTTATAGAATCAATATTTGCAATTATGCTTGCAATTATTTTGTAAATTCGAACTGAAATGAGCAGAAAATAATTGGAATAAGCGAATAGATTAATTCTTAAGTTTCTAAAATTTTGTTAGGCTTAAATTTTGTTTATAAAAAGGATTTTTTTGATTATAGAGCAAACGATCGAGAAAAACATCATCATCAAGGATGATTTTATACTTGTGTTTGCGGGTGATGCACATATTGGAAAAAGAGAATTGATTATAAGGTGTGGTGCTGAATGCCATCATTACGAGAGGAATGCGCGAAAAAGGAATGTCTCCGTTGATTTTAAAACAAAAACAGGTTTCAACAATCACTAACTTCTTCGCTCACCTCTTCACAAAAAGATTCCATCACATTACCTATATGGATTCTTATAGGCGAGAAACGCTCACATCTGAAAAATCGCGTCCGGAATGTACCACGTTGCGCGAAGATCACAAGCTATTTGTGGCTACTCGTCTCTTTCCTCGACCTTTCTCCTTATCTCTTTTCGACACTCTCTCTTCTTGAGTGTATTCTACTGCTAAACAAACCAGATCTTCAATTCATATTATTTTGCACATTGATCTGATTGACAGATCCGGTGGATACACCTTGCTAATTCAGTGAATAATTAGCAGGATGTTATTTGTTCATTAAGAGGTGACAAACGCTTCCTAACGGCGATTTTTTCAACTTTTTTTCTTTCTAATCTTTTCTTATTTGAAACTCAGTTCGGCAACAATATTTTAGTTCACCGATGCATTATATAAACAAGAAATTATCATCTTATTAAGAAAGCAAATTATTGATTATCTTTTGAAGTTAATTCATCCATGTTCCATTTCAGCTAAACGAAATGATTTTATTTGAAGTTTGAAATCCTAGATGAGTTTATTGGTTTTTATTTATACTTTAATGAAAAAAATAGAAATTATTCTTGGAAAAGAGAAGATTGAGCACTTTGGTTAACTGCTTGAACAGATTAAATTATTAAACAGTTTAAAATTCATTTTTTAAATTAAACTGACTTCCATAATCCTCACATATATGAATTTCTTGGCTTTCATCCTACTCTAATTTTAATTATTTTGATAATTTACCTCTGTGCGTTTCCTTTCACATTTCCACGAACAATTAAAGACTACTGTGCTTATTTTCTGTCTGAGATATATTAGAGAGAGAAAGAGAGGGAGAGAGAGAGAGAAAAAAAAAGATCGCAGAATGGTTTTAAATGTGCTGCACATTGTACAGTTCGTCGAATATCATTACTGTCTCTTCCTTTTTTTTCTTTCATTATTAATGGTGAATGCAGAAATATCTATTATTGAAAAGTTTGTACGAATACAATTATATACATCCCATTCTATGGCAGATGTTTCTGGGAACGCCTCATTTCTCTACAAGAAATCTCAGTATAACGAATGCAGCTAATATTACTTGTTGATATTCTTCTTTTTGTATTTTTTTGATGTGATAATACATCAAATGATGCACGCATGCATGGTATGAAAGCATAGTGGAAAGCATTTAGTCAGTCCCTTAGATGAAAAAGCTTTTTTATGATTTTTTAAAATGAAAAATAATTAAATGCAGCACTGTAGATATTTAGTAAAGAATGTTGGCTATAGAAACAATTAAATGAGTTTATCACAATCGAAAAAAAAGATATGCAAAAAGCAATCAGAAAAAAAAGACTTAGATGTTCTATGTTTTGTATTACTTTGTTAGGTATATTATTGTCTTCAAAAGAAAAAAAGATATTAATCTCTTCTGTAAATGACTGCATAAAGTCATTTTGTTCTTTGATGTCTTTTATTACTAATAAGTTGCTTTTGAATGTCACTTATCGAAATTAATATAATTCTTGTAGTGTTAATAGCTTCTGATTTCTGCGTATGAGATTATTATTATTAATATTAATTATTATTATTATATAAAGACACAGAAGTCTTTGAACTTATAAAGAAAGTTCTTAAATCTCTGAGAAAGTTTATTCCAGAAAAGTTCTCAGGCTAAATGTTTAAATCAGAAACGGAAATGTTTATGAGCTATCAGATGCTAGAGCGCATCTTCAGTGCAATCTTCATACTTTAAGCATGTCGTATCAAATAGTTCCAACTATTGTTTCATATCTTTTCGCTATCACTTCTTGACAGTTTCTTTTTTAAGATAAGCACCATTTCAAATATTGTTAAATGATAATAATTTTTCAGTAGCCATAATTTATTTTTCCAAGCGAAAACTTATTATCAAATATAAAACTTGCTGATTACAAACAACGATGCGTCCTTGTGATTCGAACAACTGATATAATGTATCCTGTGATATTTCTGATAACGGTATTGGCAGCACATATAAATGGTATTGTGCCTACACATAATAGTGGTAAAGGATTACGACCTTGGCTCCAAAGTAAGTCCACAGTCTAATTTTGTGATCAGCTTAACAAGACCACTATGCTATACTGTAATATATCAATCCATTCATAGTAGCGCAGTGGTTAAAAAGATCTTTTATTGTCAGTAAAAAAAGAGTGAACGTTATGTTCCGCCTCATTCATTTCAAAATTTTTTGATTACTGTCATTGAATAAAAACCCGCTATGATTTTGATACTTCAGCTTTAATTTTCCAATATATTTAACAAAACCATTTTTTAAATTCCAATCTATCTTGTTCCACCGTGATCTGATAAAAACCTAGCTAATCCTTTTCTCATATGATATCTACTGTCGCGAATTTCGATTCGCGAAGCTTCAACCATGAACTGTTTTTCAACCAGCGAAGAACAGGTTAGTCCTTCTTCTTCGCTGGTTGAATACTGGCAATAATGGTACTTGACATCGTTACCTCACCTCGGGCACCAATAAATTTGTTTGTATGGTTGAAGCTTCGCGAATCGAAATTCGCGACATCTACTATCACTTATCTTTATTTCTTTATTAACCGAGCCCAAGGTTCTTACAGTATATTAATGAGTGGGAGGAAGAAATGAAACATCTCAGAAATTATCCTCTGACCTTTTTCTCTTTGTGAAAATGTGATAAATGAATGATAGAAATCTCAAATTGTTCTGAATTTTAAATAACACTTCTTCATGTCTCTTCGATTATCTGAGAAAACATGTTGAATTTCGAATAATACCTCACGAAGTGGATCAAAGAATGGTCACCTGCTCCTAAAATATTTCATTTATTATTAAGGAACCATGAACTGTTTCAAGGAAGAAGTGATGTAATCACTGGTCTATTAATTAGTACAATCATTGATTGTAGAAGTTTTAATGTTTCGAGGTAAAAGAAATTTATTTTCAAACAAAAGTGTGAACATAATGAGCTGACGGAGCTAATGTCCCATTGTTTGTAAGTTCAGAATTAATCCTCTTTTAGCCGGTCCACCTCGATTCAAACAAAATCAAAGAGTTGTTCATGAGGTATTCCTGAACGACAAAGCAATATTCAAGTGCACTGCACTAGCAAGACCGGCTCCAAAGGTTCATTTTTCATTAATCATCAGAAAATTTGTAATCATCCACTCGAGTTTTGCAAATGTCTCAAATCAAGCTAATAGACTATTCTGCTTGCCAACAAAGATCAAAAGTCCTCATTCAGCTACACTCTCACTAAGAAATGAATCACCCTAAATGAGTGATACGATGAAAAACACCATGAGCTTCTCTTTAGAGTTCAAAATGCAAGATTGTGGTTTGGCATTCAAACGTACCACAGTCCAAAAAATGTCACATTCAGTGATCAAACAGTCCTAATCTTCAGGACTTCAGTATTATTCATTTAAGCGAAAATGTGTAATAATGCATATTTTCACAAAAATTGATGAATTTCTGATTTTCAGATCCACTGGTTCAGAAATGGAGAATTTTTGGACCACACAGCTTATGCAAATAATGAACGCCTTCGTGAGAATAAAAAACATTTCTCGTTGGAAATAAGGAGAGTGGAAGTCAGCGATCAGGTTAAATTTCAGACTAATTGATTATTATCATTATTATTTCATTCCCATGATGGTATTTACATTATTTGCAAATAAATTCTGTATTTGTAGGGTTCGTGGGCGTGCAAAGTATGGAATCAAGCCGGCTCTATATTTCGTAATTTTACTCTAGAAATTATTGGTAAGCTTAGAAACGAATTTTCATGCTTTAAACGTACATAAGGATACAAAGCAAACTGACTGATATATCAGAAAACTGCATGAATTAATTTTTTTCTGGAAAGATTTCGTTTGAAGTTCGGAATGGGAGAGGCAAAAGAATGTTTGAAATTTTATTCGGCAAAATCGGATTATCCTTGTGTGCCATCAGTTTTTCGTTTTAAAACTTTCTTGAAATACTGGACTGTTAAATTGCATGTTAGTGAGCTTCGGAATGCTTCAATGCATGTAAAATTTGAAGTTTTATTCAAAATTTTCGAAGTTGAAAGAGGAATAATCACTAATAAATCTACAGTGTGGTTTTTTTTATTTTTATTGCATGAGTTTGATGAGTGCTATGGCACGTGTTTGATATTGTTGCAGATTTCTGTGATTATTTCTTCATGCATGAATTTCCGGCTCAAAACGTTCCGGAAAAATGCATTTGCTTGTGGTATCTTACGAACGAGTATAGAAAGGATGGCATCAACTGGACTGAGGTTAACGATGAGCGTTGTGAAGCATTCAAAAAATATGCATCCAAAATTCGAAAACCATTAGGGAAGAAAATATGTGAGAATGGTGCCTGCGGGAATGAGTTACTGGGAGTGGACACGCATGAAGTTTTGCAAGGAGTTGGATTGCATGATGCAATGCCCAGTGATATAATGCATGATCAACAGCAACAACTCAGTGGCTTAAAGGCGACAGCTCTTTTGTCCGGTAAGCATGCTTCGTTAAGCATTGTTTAAAAATTACTCATTTTCTACCAAGATTTTCAGATCCGGTAAAATTACTCGACTGGCTGGTGGCAAATAATTGGGTGGATGTGAGTCATTTGTTGTCGAACCTGTTAACACGGCAAAAAATTGCCGCCATTAAACCAGCACTGAGTGACTGGAATACTTTAGATACTGCTGAAAAACGTATTCGAGCACGAACACTACTCCAACAAGAAATTCCAGACATCACTACAAGTATCACAGCTAATGGTATTCAAGATGTTGATCCGGAAAGTAAGGATGTCGATATTTTAATAAACAACAATGACAGCTCCTCCAGTGAAACTGATGAGAAAATTCTCGAAAAGTCACCCATAGACTTCCTAATGCATGATCAGCCAAGACCGGATGAATCGCGTGAAATTCATATTCCTGATATTGCACCGAGAAAAGCCAATGTTCCGACCCTAACAACAACGATATCTACAACAACTACAACAAGAATGGCCTTTCTGCATGCAACAAATTCAATGACAACACGCTCTACCACTCGGCGCATTTTTCCTCTTCAAAAAGGTTTCCTTCTAAATAATTAATTTCTTATTCTAACTGAACAATAGTGTAGACAGCATATTGTCTGTTTATCATACACAACCCTTCAACACTTTCTGCCTCATAATTAATTTTTGAAAATGGCTTTCAAGTTTCCAGTTTTAACAGTAATTTGATTTATCACTATTGCTAGTTCAACATAGGATATTTCCCTTTCATCATTAATTCCCAAAATGCCTTACCATTTCCATCTTTGATTTTATTTAGTTAGTCAAAATAAAAAGTAAATGGTATTTTGGCTTTTTCTTCTTTAATTATAATTCATAAGTAGAAAATAAGATTTTAGTACCACCATATTTCAAAGTTCGTGATGAAGATGCCGACACGTCGGTGATAACACCTTCTGGAAGAACAATTAAATTGCAGTGCAAAGCTGGAGGACAACCGGAACCACAGGTGATGCCCTTTTACTATTACTACAGAAAATTTGCATATCTTTCAATGTCATTGTGATTTATACTTATTAAAAAGAGAAGTGGTGTAAATTTTAATTTAGGTTATTTGGTTCAATAATAACAAGAAGGTAATAACTACGGAAGTTCGAAGGCCAGTAGGAACTGAGTTCCGTCTACGAAAGAATACATTGGAAATAGAAGATGTTGCCGAATCAGATTCAGGTGACTATACGTGTGAGGTGAGTTAATTGATTACGTGGAATTTCAATATAGAAAACTTCCCTGCTTTAAGTAAGCTCTACTTGATAGTATTCAAAATAAACGGAATTCCAGTTCATTTACAAATCATTTGTCAGCTAATGTTCAGTCTGATTTCGATTTCATAATTTTAGCACTTTGTTTTTTCAAATAAATTTTTTTTCTGAATTTAAATATTATTTTATAAGATACTTACTGATGGGATAGTGAAGGAAGAGTGATATATTCTTTTTACTCGGTTATCTTTATAAGCACAGTAAAAAGAGTTCAGTGCTAACACAATCATTAAAAATACTTTTTGCTAACCACAATTTAGAACTTTTAAAAAATATCTTAATTATAAGCTAATAAAAAAATATGTTTCGGAATGTTTCCAAAATGAATTAGCACCAAAATAAAGTTTTAAAAAAACTAAAGTTTTTTTCCTATTCAACAATGATCGTAGTTGGGTGCGGTGCTTTAAGCTAATAATAATTGGAGAAGAGAATATAATGTACAGTGTTATTTGTTATTTAATGTAGGCATTCAATTCGGCGGGTTCAGTAACGCGAACTTTTAAATTGAGAGTTGTCGATCGGATGCGCTCAAAACCGATCATCGTCCCAAATATTCTCGTAAATCAGACTGTTGATGCTAACAGTACTGTTAATTTCACGTGCAAGGTGATTAAAGTTTTGATTTCCTTTTCTTCTGACAAATGTTTTAAATATGAGGATGAAAATTAAGAGTTAAATGGAAACCAATTAAGTTTTATGAGAAAACTAAAAGTGTTTATTTAAACATTATTTTCAAACTTGGAATGTGTTTTAAGAAGCTTTTTGATTTCTAGGTAATATCTGATCTAACACCACATATCGTTTGGATGCGTATTGAAATGACCAATGACTCCATTTATTACTGGAATGAAACGGATCGTAAATACGTTTTCCGATATACTGATATGCAGTCGGTGGAGGTTGTTTAATAATTGTTTTGCCAAACTTTGACTGAATGTTTTTGCATTTTCTTCACATGCTCATTTTTTCTACATTTACGTTTTGACGAAGCCATATCTTGCTTTGTTTCGACTTTTAATTTAATTTCACTTTTTTCTTCTCTCTTTATTTATTCTCATTCCTTCCATTTCATGTTTTGCCTTTCTAAATCTCCGATAAATCTTGACTGTCTTTCTATAGAATGCAATTGTAACGAAAATATCGCAAGATTCATCAACATTAACAATAGTGAATGTAACAGTGGCCGATCAAGGAATGTATGCATGTGTATCAGGCAATCATCTTGGTCATGTAAGTCTCTTTTCACAAGATAAGGAGAACAGTTTAGATCGGTGACGAATCAAATATTTATATTTAAGGAAATTTAATTCATACTGAAATAAATTGAAATCGATTTAAGGCAATAGCAAATGCAACTTTAACGGTCAACGAATTTCATGCGATGACGCTTGCAACAGGAAATCCGGATATGAAATGGTCTCGTTCATCTGCTTTAGCTATCGTATTTCTTCTTATTCTACTTATTTTCACACTGGCTACCACTCTATTTTATATATTTTGCATTCGAAAACGCTCAAAAGCGCAAATAGCTGAAATGGAGCAATTCATTGGTCCGGTTAAAAAACGGGTGATTTTCTTTTTCCTATTCTCTCTTTTACTTTTTCATGATTTATTTTTGCTGAAAATATATTTGCTATTAATCTAGTAAATAAATTGATTCTGAGAATCGGGCCTGATTTTTAGGGACTGATTTTGTCTTCCATAAAAGTGAGAAGTTTTTAGGTCATTGTTACAAAACGCCCAGTTGATCCAGAAAACGATGGTTGGTCTGATATGCCATCGACTTATCAAATTCATGTTGAACCAATTG